TGTCTTTTCCTTGATCTCTTTTCTTTTTCTTTCTTTTTCTTTCTTTTATTCGATCTCTCTTTTTTTTTTTCTTTCATCGTAAGAACCTGTCATTTTCCTCTTCTTTTTCTTTTCTTTTCTTTTCTTTACCGCACTAAATGTTTCTTATGTTTCTTATGTTTTCACAATGAATTTTCTTCAAACATTTTTTTTCTTTCACAAAATCTTTTCGTACATTTCTTTAAAATAAAAAGCTTTACAAGTTTTCCAAATTGAAATCAATTTTGTTTACTTGTCGAAATGAATTCCCAATGAACTCCCAATGAATTCCCAATGAATTCCAAATCTATTCCCAATCTATTCCCAATTAATCAATCCTTTTCCTCTTAATAAAATCATTTACCCAATTCTCTCTTTTCTTATTCCCAAAGGATATATATTTCTAAATTACTTAACGTTTTCTCAGCTAAAAATGATTTTTCCAATTACTTATCTTCTCATTTTTTCATTTCTTTTAGAAACTTTGTAAAGGTTCCCTGTTTTTTTTTGTTTGTTCAAAATCGATCTTCAATCAATGGTTAAAATCGAAGCCAATTCCTTTTCCTTGCCACCTTTGGAAAACTTGTAAAGCTTTTATTTTAAAGAAGTTTACAAAAAGATTTTTGAAAGAAAAAAGGCTTGAAGAGAATTCATTGTGAAAAGTGAAAACATAAGAAACATAAGAAACATTTAGTGGAGTAAAGAAAAGATGAAAACCCTTTGAGAAGCTTGGTCAAAACCCCATCAATAAGCTTTCATTTTTCAAATATCCCAGTTATTTTTATCCGATTCCTCTGTCCTTCCCCCATCTGGAATCCATTTATTTTCTCATTTTTCTTTACAAGTTTTCTCTTTACAAGTTTTTACTCTTTTAACCCTATTAAAAGTTGGTGTTCATCGCGTTCATCATCTCAAAGTATATCTCTGATTCTACTAGATTTATCGTTTTATCATTAATGATTGTGATTCATTCATTGATCCACTGAAATTGATCCATTGATCCACTGAAATTGATCCATTGATCCACTGAAATTGATCCATTGATCCACTGAAATTCATCCATTGATCCACTCAAATTGATCCATTGATCCACTGAAATTCATCCATTGATCCACTCAAATTCATCCATTGATCCACTGAAATTGATCCATTGATCCACTGAAATTCATCCATTAATCCACTGAAATTGATCGACTGAAAGTGATTCATCCATTGATTCATAATGCCAAAAAGCCAAAAATCAATAATCTCATTAAAAAGAAGGCTGTAAAAATTTGGCAAAAAAGGGTGAGAGAACTCATTGATGATGCCCATTTTTCTCGAAATTCTCTTCGAATCTCAGCCACAAATCTTTTCTTTTTTTTAAATGAACCCTTTGTGAACATTTGTGCCTATTGGATATCTTAGAAGAAGAGAAAAAACTCCCATGATAAAGTAAGGTGAATGGGAAGATAAGAAAAAAAGAAAGCCAAAAACTCGTTGGGTCATTTCTTGGGATCTCTCAATTTGACCATTTTTTAAATGACAGACAGAAAAAAAGAAATCAATTAAATCAATTGAGAATGTTGCATTTATCTACCGTAATCTCTTTCTATACCATAACGATAGCTTATTGTATCCTTGCGTAGTTATGGCCTAGCCCTCCAATTTGATTGAGAGTAATTAGCCTTTTCTTTTCTTTCGAACTTTTCTTTCAAAAACTTTCTCATTTTTGATTATGGTCTTTGATTTTTGTTAAATAAGAAAAAGATCTTATTGTTTTTTTTTTAAAAAACTATCTTTAAAAATCAATTATTGTTTAAGATTTTTAAGGAAAAGGTAAACCGAAAATTTTTTCATTTCTCGATTTCATTTCTCGTTTCTGTTCAAAAGAAAAACAACGAAATACCCTTTTTTAATTTAGATTTTATCATTGAATCTTAAATCTATTTAAATCTATTCAAATCTATTCAAATATTTCAGGTATTTCATTTGTTTTTTGACCGTTTGTCCCCAGTTACACTCCAAGTGAAACGGGACTCAACACGGTCAAATCAAATCAAATCAAATCAATCAATCAATCAATCAATCAAATCAAATCAAATCAATCAATCAATCAAAACACGGAGAAAATTGGGTAATCGAGAAACAGGTAAAACAAAATAAATCCCATTCTTTATAAAGTAAATATTGTCCACCGCGAAACATTCGATACAAACATTTTTACAGATTCCCTGAAACATTGAGGAGTGTTCCCCTCACTCTCTTTTCCTCATCGACTCCCCTGGGCCTCAGGCCGATTATTCGCTTTGATTTCTGTTAAACAGAGCAACGATCTCTACACTTTTCGGTGAGTAGTCATTTTTAAAATCAAAATTCCAAAATCCGTTCTTGTTGTACGATTTCTTAAAATTCAAAACTTCATCGCCGTCCTTTGTCTTTCTTTTTTGAGGGAATTTTTCAAATTTCTTCCCACTCTTTGATACCCAAACAGGCAAAAAAAAAGAAGGGGAAGACCCGCAAAGACAAAAATTTTTGAAAAAAAAGAAACCGAACGTTTGTGGGTTGGCCTTTTTTGGGAATGGGATACAGTATCTGAGAAGAGAAAAGGAAAAGGCGAGGGAACACTTGTCTAATCTCAATCATTCTCTTCATCACTCCTTTTTTAATCAGCATCTAAATTTCGATCTAATCTAGTGATGTATCCCCGGAAATTTTTGCCAACTTTCAGCAGAGGAGAATATTTTCTAGCTATCGTTATGTCTGGATGTGATAAAACTTCTAGATAATATCAATTAAAAGCATATGTAATTGATATTATCTAGAAGATATTATTCTTAGATATTATTATCTAGAAGATATTCTTGATATTATTCTTTTTCTACTACAATGCTAATCGAAAAATGATTAAAACAAACTCTTGATATTTACGGGGATACTTACCGTAAATACTGTAATAGTACCCCATCCGACAATGACGGTGCGGAGTGTTGCGTAGTCTAGCTTTGGACGCGTTTTTCTCGACACTGGTTTATGCTACAATGCGCGCTTAGGTATCAAAAAATATCCCCTGAATTTCAGCTATTTTTTGATACCAAAGACGCATTTTTTGAAAGTACGGGCCCTTTGAAAAAAAATGAAATACTAAAAAACTTTTGCGACTACCCGACTGTACGTAAACTATTCAACCAAATGAATAGATAACTACCGTAAATACTGTAATAGTACCCACCCCCCTCGTACAGTCGGGTAGTTGCAAAAGTTTTTTAGTATTTCATTTTTTTCAAAGCGCCCGTACTTTCAAAAAATGCGTCTTTGGTATCAAAAAATAGCTGAAATTCAGGGCTATTTTTTGATACCTAAGCGCGCATTGTAGCATAAACCAGTGTCGAGAAAAACTCGTTCAAAGCTAGACTACGCAACACTCCGCACCGTCATTATGGCGGTGGGGTACTATTACAGTATTTACGGTAGATATTTTATTAGATTTTGCAAATTTTACAGTTTCTTTTTCTCTTTTCAATGTTGATTTAGTAAAAGAAAAGGCCTTTTTCACGAGTTGAACTATTTTCATGGACTCTTTTCAGCCACCATTCAAGAATCACAAAGTAAGTGAACAAGAGTTTTAGGATTGGGAAAAGTAAGGCTATTAGGCTCATCGATCTATGGTGATATTCAGATTTTTGAAAAGAAAAACTGGTCGTGCCACCTAGCTCCTTGCATTTCTCTCCCTTAAAATGTTCTTCTTTTGCACTTTTTTTCCAAACAAAATTCTTGGACTTTTGCATTTTGAAAGTGTGAAAAATTTCGTAATAAAGCAATACTCAAATAACGATTTTTTTTTTCTTTAACTTTTTCCCTACCGTATCTCATTGTTTTATGCAAAATTCCCTCGATTTTCAATGAATTTTTCTTTTTGGGAAAATGAGTTGAAGATTTTCACGGATTTATGAGCGTAAAAAGCTCGTAAAAGAAAGCTCTTTAAAAGCAAAAGGTTTTTGTGAAATCGATCATTTGAAAGCTAATTTCTTTTCGAGATTGAGTACGATAGTTTTGGGATAAAAAGGTTAAACTACAGTACTACTGTAGACAAGTACAGTACTACTTTTTATAGGCGACGTTTTGTACCTTACTGTTATGCCAAAGTTTTTACGATTTAAATTAGCATAGAACAATAAAATACTTTGCCTAAATTATCCTATTTCCAATTTTTCCAATCCAGAAATGCTAACTTATTATTTGCCTTCTTTAGTCGTTTTTCATAGAAAGAAGCCCGACAATTTGCTTTTTTTTTTGCTGAAGCGCAACTAAATATAGGTGCTTTCTTTTCTAGCAGGATCATCTTCTTTTCAACAATTGTTATTCTGACAAGCTCAAGGATTTTACCCGCTAGAAAATCTTCTGGAAAAAAAAAGCTCTTGCCCGCAGCTGTGCTTTCGGGGGATAGTTTTTGTTGTACTCAAATCTGGGAGGGTTTTTTGTCTCGAAACCGTTTGGTGTGAACGAATTTCATTCGCAATTCTCTTTCAATTTTCTTTCAATTTTCTTTCAATTTACTGTAGTTTTACCGATTCACAGAGTGTTTATCATTTTTTAAGTCTCTTATCGATCTTCTTATCGAATAAAACATTCATCCCACTAAGTTAAATTATTTACAATCATTCTGTACTATAGTGCTACTTTAAAGGATTCTTAACCCAAAAACATCTTACAAGTCAAAGGCTTACTGTGGGACAGAGGGGCACTAGGAGTCCAAGCTTTTAGCTTTAGGAGTCCAAGCTCTGAGAAGGGACCCTTTTGAAGAGTATACGGCTCGCAATAAGCTTTCATCTTTCACCACCAGCCGAAAAACTGACGGTTTTTCTAGCTGGATGCTTTGAGACTCATTCATAGTCGGCGCAATCGAGAGCAGGCTTGTCTGCGGCTGACAGGATCCAGTTTCGACCTCTCGTAGTGCCACTCAATTTGAACTTTTAAAATTTTTATTTCACTTTTTATTTAAAATGGTACAAATATATTATATTTTGAGACTTTTTAAAAGACTTTTAGACTTTAAGACTTTCAGTTCTTTTGACCTAAAGATGACTGAGAAAAAGTCCGTACAGACAGACGGACGGATAGCCATGCTCTTTTATATATAGTAGATAAGCTTGCTGTTGATCAGTACAACTGATTGTTGAATAAAAGAATATAGCACAAATAGATTTCCTTTCGAAACACAGCATTCTTTATTAGATATATAGGCGAGAAGCGAAGGTCTACAGGTAACTAAAAGCTATCGTAGTTCTGCGTTCTGTTCTGTGTTCTGTTTGAACACTGCTCTAGCCTAATCCGATTACCAACCAAGATAGTGAAAGTAGTGACTGTTATAAGTGTTTAAATATTTCGAAATATCTGATTTGCAGTCTTCATCTTCGACTTGCCCTTCGACTCGTCCTCCTCTACACACCGTCACCAATTTCCCGCCACTTCTTTCCCATCAACACTATCCACAAATTCCCTACTCGATGCATTCACCAGTTATCGGTAAATTTGTGTAAATATTGAAGATTTAGGTCTTTTGTCTACAGTATGCTTACAAATTTCAGACACCGCAACATATGCATCGATGAATGGCGAACTTCTGAACGGAGATGTCGCTCAACAATATGCCCAACAAATCACTCTCGGCTTACACCAAGATAGTACAAGTAGTGAGTTTTAGAAGGGTTTTAAATATTAGAAATATAATTCATATGAAGAGTATCCGGCTCGCAATAAGCTTTCATCTTTCACCACCAGCCGAAAAACTTCCAGAGTACCTGAAAATATAGAATTTATGAAAGAAGTTGATTTAATATAGTTATCAAATTCCTCACCAAATGAGTGCCAATGTGAGCGCACAAGAGAACATCGTAACTGGACATCGTAACGTAATTCGAAACCATTTTCCAGCTCGTTCTCATTCGCGCTCCACCGAGGCCAGCGACACATCGAATGGGCCAACTCCGCCAGCAGAAAATTCACAAGTATTGAAAAAATTGAAACGAAAATTGTATAGATAACATAAGTATACAAGAATAAATTGAATAGATCAAGTCTTTCTTCAGACAAATGGCACTCACGCTCAACCAGTGCCCGCAAATCCATCGGCTCATCTTCAAAATGGAAACGCTCAACAACAACAGGTAAAAATCATAAAAATCATAAAAATCATTAGCTAATTTTAATTAATTCGATAAAAAAAACACTTATTTATTTAACAATTTGATTTCAATTTGTTTAGATGATCTCTCAAATGCCCCATCTTGGTATGGCTCTTCAGCAAGCGACCGGCATCGAACCACAACAACTCGCTTCCAATTTCGCAAACTTTAACAATCCGGGTTTGTTCTCATTAACAGAACACTAATTTTAATCTTAAATCACTAAAGCTTATTAATTTACAAAATAAAAATTAAACCATTTTTTAGATATTTTCAACTTCTCGAACAACTCGATTATCGGCTATCCGGTACTCGGCAGAATGCCGGTTTGTTTTTGCGTTTTTTAAAGAAAAAAATTTATCATCCATTTACAGCTTATTATTTGAACATAAAATATGAGTCTTTTTGTGTAGAGAAAAATTAGCAATTCGTTCAGCAGTTCATGAAAACGCTTTTTATTGGGTCTTGGGGAGTATGAAATGGTGTCGACTCTGAAAAATTCAATTTTTCTCAAACGCATAAATCTATTAGTTGATCTATTAGTTGTATAATCAAAAAGCTCTATCATTTCTCGACAAAATCGCTTTTGAGAGATTCGGAAAAGGTTTTGTTTTGTGGATTTTATGGGGCTCCTAAAAGAAAGCAGTCAAAATGAGAAGGAGTCTGATTCATTCAAGATGAGAAGGAGCCATTTGACACTATAAATGACACCATTTCTTATAAATAAACCTCATTTGATGTCATAAGAAAAACGTAGAGTACATTTAATTACATAAGTCGCAAAATTTTTGTAGTGATCTCGTCAGTCATTTTCTCTAAATGACGATTTCAAGTTTTCTGAAAAAAAAAAAAAAAATGTTCTTTTATTGAATTGGGATGCTTTTTGAGTTTTATTTGATAATTCAAAGATTTTGATACAAAGATTCAAAGATTTTGTAGAGAAATAAGTGATCTTTCTAATCATTTGATAAAGATTACTTCATTTGAAAGAAGAATTCTTTGAAAATCGGCGTTATTTCATCAGCATTAACTCAATAGTTAAGAATGATGTTGAGGAAGTAAGATAAGTCATTCAGTTCCTTAACTCAAGTTTTCTCTACATTTGGATCAGTTTCCTAATTACCCCTTCCGATATCAAGCTGGATCAATTCCCCTAGCTTCTCCCCTTCTCCACCTCTTCTCCCCCAGCATTTGGCTCATTTGGCAACATTAATCTTAAAAAAAAAGAGTTTCTTTGATAACGAAAAACGAAACACCGTTCCCGCATTTCTTCTGCGATCAGTTCTTTGTCTTTTCTGGAACATTTAGGATAGATAGGGCTGAGCCCCTCTCCCGTTGTCTCTTTCCCCTCCCCGAAAACGAACACTCACCTCAAAAAGAGTACCCCCAAAAAAAAAACAAAAAAAAACCAGGCTGTGAATCCACATGGTCTCTTTTGTCTTTGCTTTTTTTCGCCTCAATACTTTTTTTTCCTTTTTTGAAGTGAAAGCTGAACGCTATGGAGACCCCCGTTTCTCCCTTTGGACCCACTCTATTTTCAATAGAAATCCCTCTCGTTGTTGGTGAGGAAACTGAACAGATTCTCTTTTCTCTCTTCAATAGAACAGCCGTTCCGTTTTTCTCCCCCCGAACACTCTTTTCATCTCAAAGAAAAAAAAAACTGGAAAAGCAACAGCAACAATTACTTTTTACGTCTTTTTACGCAATCTTTTCTCGATTTCATCATTTTTCAGGGTGAAAAGACAAAAAAAATAAGTCAATATTTGAGATTTTCAACCCAAATCGCAAGTTAATTGTTTAAATTTACTACAGAAACTTACTTAATGTTGACTGCTAAATTCGACTAATCTAAGGCTTACTGTAGCTGTTCTCTTATACTTACTGGAGCTCTAAGGCTTACTGTGGTTGTTCACTTGTGCTTTGAGCTAAATTCGACTTCTCACATTTAGATCATTTTCGACTTCTCAGAAATTTAAGAAAAAAAAAAACAAGCAACAAATCCTTGCTGAGAAAGTTGACCTAAAATTCGAGCTTTCTTTGTTTGAATGTCTTTAAATCTTTTCCTCATTTTCCTCATTTCATATTGTGTGTGACTGTGTCATCGGGTACTCCCCAAAGTGCAATCCCTTCTTTCGATTCCACCCATTTTCTTTTCCCTTTTTTCTTGGCCCTTTCTCCATTCTTTCACGGGGATTTACATTCCTTTTTACTTCTTTTCAAATCAAGAACGCTTTTTTTTCTCCTTCTGCACTTTCTCTTTCACTCTTTTTGAAAGGGTTAAGTCTCTTTTTTTGAGAACTCAAAGAGGGCACTTGCACTTTCTCTTCTCCTTTCCTCTCGTTTCTTTTTTCTTTTTTTCCGATCAACTCGAATTCTTTGTTCAGTTGATCAGCTTTTTTTCAAGACGAACATTAGGATTCTAGAAAAAAAGTAATTCTTATCTATTCACTGAATTTGATTAAATTCCTAGAACCATGTGATGCCGAAAAAGGTCGGTTTAACTTTTTTGGACTTTTTTCTAATCTTTGAATACTTTAGAATTTTGTCAGTAATGCTCAAAAAATTCTCAAATTTTCGAGCATTTCAAAAACTTTCTTAAACTTATCTAAAATCGATTATTTGTTTTTCTATCGAAAATCTCGAAAATCTCGAAAAGCGATTTTCTGATGCGACCTCGCGAGAGAGAGAGAAAAGGGGGAATTGTCGGCCACTTTTTGTGGTCATTTTTCATTTTTTGTGTGTTTTTTTTTGTCCCAATCTTCCCCATGCCACCCAAACGGTTTTTGCCTACGACAAAAAGTGGCAAAACCCCGAAGAGAGACTGAAAAGAGAAATTGGGATGGGGGTGAGTGAGGGGGGAAGAAAAAAAAGAGGGGGAGTTCAGGGGTATAAGGGGGTATGAAAGGAACGGGGTTCACAAAAAGCACTCCCGACACTCCCGACACTCGCCAACATTCCCTTCCTTTTCACCAACCATTCAACCAATAGTGCCTGCCGATGTATTTTGACGTGCATTACCCTATCATCATCATCATTATCATCTCATAAATTCAATACTTTTGAAGTTAAACTTGAATTAATTCTATTCCTGATTTCGTTACTTTCCAACATTTCACGAATAGATGCTTTCTCGAATGACGGTTCGACTCTCAATGATCCTTAGTAAGTCCAAAATTTTGCTTTACCACTCTTGTAACTATTCTTGATTCATTAACTAAAAAACATTAACTGACAAATGGCTTAAAGTTAAAGATTCTCAAGAAAGATATCTATTTTGTGGAGACATTAAAAAAACGTGATAAAAAGAGATATTTAGAACAGAACAGCGTTCAATAAAAGGGAAAAATTAGAGAAGAGATTTTGAAAAGAAATAAGAAGAAATGGTGGAGAAAAAAAAGGGGATAGATTTTGGGGAAAAGAGAATTTGAAATGGGCGAAATATTGAGAAAGAATAGAGGTGAAAAAAGCGTTCTCAATGACCAAAAAGAAAACTTTGAAAGAGAGAGGATTTGAGGAGAGAGAAGAGATAAGTTGGGGGAAAGTTTTCAAAAAAAATCGAGGAAATTGAGAGAATTTGAGAGTTGACAGAGATTGGGGGAGACGTTTTAGTTGTTTGCAGCCGCGGCCGGGCGTTCCCCGTCGCCCCGTTCCCTTCCATCTCTATCGATTTGCACTCTTGGGGGTTTGAAGGGGTTCGTTTTTTTCCCCTTTTTCCACCCCAAAAATTCTCTTTTTCACCCTTCGCTTCTCGTCGTTCGTCGATTTGAACACTTTCCAACTCCAACCGACCCCTCCAATGCACTCTGAAAGGGCAAAAAAGTTGCGATCTCTCGTTTTTTTCTCTAAAACCACTCTCGATTTTAGAAGTTAGGTTATATTACTTTTACGTCTTTATTTTTTCCTTTTACTATCCTATCTTTTACTATAAGATTTTGAGTGTTTGAGTGCTTAGCTTCTTCATCAAAAGTCCCTTATCTAGGAGAAATTCGATGGCGCTGCTGGTGAGTTAAAAATGAGCTCAGTTTTTAGTGACTAACATAGAAAATATTAGGCATCATTCCCTTAACATTTAACTAATGAAATCACATTTGATTGACATCAATTTTTCCTCTTCATCATCTTCTTTCATTCTTTGCAATGAATTCATTTTTAAAGCAGTCTAACTTTTGTTTTTATTCTCTTGAAATAGATTTTGCGGGAAACACATAAAGAGCATAGTATACTGTAGCGAAAAGAAAAGAGAAGAAAAAGCGGCGATTGACCAATCGATGAGGAAGGTCAATGGGGAAAAGAAGTGCAAAAGAGAAAAGAGGAGAAAAGAGGAGAAGAAAGGAGAAGAAAGAAAAGGAGAAGCACACCCGGAAGTGGATTTCTGAGGAAACTGTTGTATGTGTAATTTGAGATAAAACTACGATTTTTTTGAAATACATTGGTGGAAAGAGGTCAGAGAATTTCTGGAAGAAGGAAACGGTGAATCTCGAGTGGAAGAGATGAGAAGGAAAGTGCAACAAAGTACAGCCGATCGAGAAAAGAAAAGGGAAAAGTGCAGTCGAACGGGCATTTGCACTTTTACGGATAAAAAGAGAAAGTGCAGAATGAGGACTAAAATGGAGGGAAAGGAAGAGGTGAAGAGGAGGAACAAGGGGAGAAGCTGAGGGAGAAGAGGTGGAGTGGAGGAAGAAGGGGAAGAAGGGGTGGAGAAGGGAAGAGGCTGGGGGAAGGGGAGAAGGGGAGAAGCTAGGGGAATTGATCCAGCTTGATATCGAAATGGGTAATTGGGAAACTGATCCAAATGTAGAGAAAACTAGCGTTAAGGAACTGAATGACTTATCTTACTTCCTCAACATCATTCTTGGCTTTGGTATCAAGAATGACAGGTCGAAAGATCTTCTCATTTTGGTGCACAAAAACATATTACAATTAGCATTTATAATATCACTAAAGCTAAAGCTAAAATCTTTTATTTAAATCTTTATATGCTCCTCTATTTTGCACTAAAAATTAATCTAATCGAAACTTTTGAAAATCCGCATAAACAATAGCTTTAGTTTTCAACGTTAAAACATTTCATCTTCAAACATTCTTTCCAAAAAAAAAAGAAATATCCAACTTTCATTTATCGCAGCCAAAACTGGGGCAAGGGACCAGCTTGGTGAATCCCATTGCACTTTTGTGCAAAAAAAGAAGGCTCACTCGGTCTTCGACTTCAAAACGAACACAAAAAAAACACATGGGGCGTGCCACCCAAAGTGCACAGGGGAGCTGGGGGTGAACGGAGGGGAAAAAATGATGGGGAAAAGGAGAAGAGAAAGTGCATGTGCCCTATTTGCCGTTCGCCCCCTTT